GCATAGAGATAAACACATGCAAATGTAGACAAAACGTTCGAGGTTTTACTTTCACAGCATACACATGCAAATGTAGACAGAACGTGTGAGGTTTTACTTTCACTGCATATATGTAATGTCCATGGCATGTAACACCAGTCACGATTACCCTTCTACCTCACTGGTCAGGTAATCATTTCAGCTACTATCCTCAGTATTTATACCCTTCGTTCTCTATCCTTCTCCGCCACTTTCCCTATCCTTGCAGTGTACTCATCATCTATCCTCAAGATCTCCCGCAGTCGTTCTCTGTGTTGTCCTTGTCGTCGTCAATTTCCAACATGCCTTCAATTTGAAGCTACTTTCATCATATCTAATGATTTTTTGCGTGCTACTCACGTACTCTCTTCTCTGTCGGAGTTCCGTCTTACTGTGGTACTTGCCTATAACTCCGCTGTTTTTTTGTACTGACTCGAATCTAGCCTTGTTTGTTGTTCTGTTCTTGTTTACTTTCATGGCCGTGAATTTTTCTTCATTTCCAGGTGAGTACTTTTTCTTTATTGGTTCGTTTCCACTGCTTTAGGTCTTTCATCTTCTATCTGTTTCGTATGTTTGAAAATGTGAGCGACACTGTTACGTCGTTATATCTGCAGAAATTTCGTGATATTCCGGAGTACTTAGTCGTGTATGTTTCTTTTTCATCCCTGAAAATTTATTTTCATTCCGTGCAAAATTATATTTTTGATTTTTGATTTTTTGAATTGTGATTTTAACTTAATATTCCGAGTTGTGTGCATTTCTTGACGTGTTTTATTCCGGACTTTCAGTTTTATATCCGTCGATTTGGTGCTTCTTGCTTTTCCAGGTACTCCCGGAATTTATTTCGGACATCCGCGTCCCTGCAGTTTCGGATGAACGCAAGTATCGCGGCGCGGGTTATCCTCCATGGCTAATCGATAAGTCGGAGTTCCTGTCCGAAGAAGTCAATCACGGGCGATAGATCCGCCATCTCGTACGTGTTAGCTACCATTCGATGAAAAGTTCCGATAATCGTCAAGGTCTTGGTTCTCTCAGAACCCGCACTTCTGAAGTGACGCAACGTCCTAAGAGAGAGAGAGAGAGAGAGAGAGAGAGAGAGAGAGAGAGAGAGAGAGAGAGAGAGAGA